TCCAAAGAACAGGAGGGTTTAGGTAGCGCCACACAGCAATCTTTAAAGGTTTTCTCAAAACGAGTTTTTTCTCCTATTCCGAGTGAAAAATGTCAACTTCAGTTGAACTTACATACACCATACCTCCTTCCAGTTATATTCCTATCAATATTATGAAGATTTTTACAAAAGGGTTTGTTTGAATATCATTCATATCCTGAATTATATGAGATTGTATACATAAAAACATGGCAAAAATTGATATTTTATAGCTGTTGACAGTATTTTCTGATTTATGGAGTGATAAAAAGAGATATCCAAAATCCATTCTGTAAAAACTTTAGATTCTAATATGACTACAAAATGAAACAAGAATTTTGAACCTTGCTTTATCCAATGTTCAGAATTGTGTTCCTGAAATGTATTAAAATATGCACATATTTAATGAGATGATGGATGTGAGGAAAATAAATAAATATTTATAAATAATGCAGAGAATGTTGTAAGTGACCAGGATGCAGGAGTTACAAAATTACCTATTGTACAGTAACATTTTTAATAATGAATGTTCGTTTTAACATTTAATGTGTTGTAATAGCGCCACAAGGAGGAGACTCATCCCTATTACACGTAATCTGGAACCACAGACTGCTTTGAAACATTTGGGAATTTTGTTTATGATTTGTTATTAGGACAGAAGAGAACAAAAAACAGAAAAAGACCACTCCATAACTCTTATAAGTATCCTTACCTGGAGCCTTTGCAACAGTCTGTTCTGCTCCGTTAGTTTCCTTTTTAGCTCCGTCGCTCTCTCCCTCCTCACTCTTCTTCTCCCAGACTACAGATACTGCAGCTGTGCTTCCAGCAACAATGTCCATCTGACATTCTGAAGAGAAGCTGGTTTACTGGCACCGCTCAGAACTCAGACATTTACGTGACGTCATTTTATTTGCAATACCTTCAGATTCCTGCTTCACATCTGTACTCTCACTGGGGGTATCCTCTGTGGAGACGACTGCCTCAGCCGAAGGGGCGATCTCGCTTTTTGTTTCTGTAAAAAACAGAAGGGATTTGATATAAACAGTGAAAAAGAATAAGTGCTTCTCACTAAAGATCGATTTTGAGGAGGAGTATCATTTTAAAACTGAAAAACCGAGTGCCAACTTTTGGACGTTACAGAATATTTAAACAGAGAATACACAACACCTTCAACTTAAATGAAAATAAACACTTAATTGGGGGAAAAGTAAAGTTAGCCATTCACCTGATGGTAAAAGGCATGTTGTTATCCATCTCATGTTTGACGCTTAAATACTAAAGTATATGCAGCCAAATTGGCTATAGTAAGGACATACAATGTGTTATGTGGGAGGCTCGTAGGAATATATATAATATATGCAGTAATATAATCGGTTAACTGATATGAATGATAGTTTGTTGAAAAGGCAAAAACGATTGGACCTAAGTTCAAAGATTGCAAATGCCCATTGTTTAGCTACTCAGGGTTTCGTAAGGGTTTTCAATGACATAAACATACTGTTTAATGTAAAAAGAGCAAAGTTTTGTTTAGTTATATTAATTTTTAAAGATGGATGATGCATAAAAACTGTGATGGCCTTTCACATGGGAAACATACAGATGAGCCAACTATGTGGAAAATGCTGGAAGAAGAGGGAAAAAAACACTTTTCTACAATAATCTGTAGATATTTATATTTGCATATATGCATTTTTTTATGTGGAAACCTAATTTGTGATACTAATGTTTTTGTGTATTACTTTGTGCCTTGTATATATGTGGGATGCGTCAAATGCTTAAGGTTTGATATAGATAAGGCCACAAACTAAGAGCATCTGTAATATTCAAAGCAGGACAAATTACAATACATCTGTAATATTAATGAGTAATGTTTGAAATTCATTTTCTAGAAAACAAAAATGTATGCAATAGTAACTATGACTCTTGGAAACATCTTACCGCTGTCCATGATCTGATCGCTGGTTCTCTTTTCCGCATCAGCAACTACCCTATTAGACTTCTCGTCCCACGATATATCCACAGTAGAAGTACTTCCTTTTACTTCAATGACGGCGTCTATCTGGGGATCTAAACAAGCAGTTTGTTATTGGTACAGCTCACAGATACAAACAGACATGATGCGTTTGCAGTACCTTGTTCATCTTGGTTCTCCTTGGGAGCATCTTCTGTTGCGACTATTTGTTTGCTTGAAGAGACGATCTCAGTCTGTCCTTCAGCAACAACTATTGTATGATTTAAAGGTATTGTTATTATGTGAAAACAGCCAGCTAAATGTAATCTTCCACATGTTTATTAAATAAATGACTTGCCAGTTGTAACATTGTCCTCTTCTTCTACAACTTCACTTGTGCCAGCTTGGCTCTTTCTTGTACTACGTCTAGTAGCCTGGAAAAGAAACAAATACATACATTTCAAATCAGTAAGAACCCTGTTCACCCACAAACAGATGGCATTGCAACTGAAACAGTTATACACATTATTCGTATGTGTGTTTTATTATCTTGCATAAATGGTCAATGGCAGCATAATTTTAACAAATGCAAAATAACGTATGAACTTCCCCCATTTCAATATATTATTACAAAATGTCTTCACATATGGTGAGGGACAGCTAACTTGTTGACACGTTTTGCTTTCCACTTAAACAGGCTGTGCAGTTGTAATTTATCTGCTCGAAACAGCTAGTAAGTACAACTTGGGTGATTATCAGCAGCTAGCCAACTGTTAGCTTGCAGAAAATAACCTAAAATAACGCAAAGCGGAAACATTAATTCAGTGCACTTAGTAGCCCCTTTAGATAAACTGCAAATTAACGTAATTCTAACGTTAGATTTTTACCATATTTAGTGTTACAACAGCAGACAATCAGAAACTGGTGCAGCTAGCAGTCTTTCAGTCGTTCCTCCGGTGAATGCACGTGTGTGTTGAGCTAAAAACACCCACATGCTACTACTCTGCGCACTGCGCATGCACTACCTTTTGACTAACGGATGCCTGTAAGTATTTCATTTCATTTGGCGTATGCACAACAACAATTAACAGAATCTCCCCCGCCACATATTTTCCAGTGTTTGGGCATCACTGCTGTGAGAAGTGCAAACATTTGGGAACTATTGGGTAGCAGCAGGGGAAAGATGTTAGCAGAGAGAAAACCTTGTTGGAAGTGTTTTCGAAGCAGGTCACCGCTCAAATGTATTTTTTCTTAAAGCTAGCTTAGTTACGTTAGCACCTAAACGTGACACGGTTGAGTGCTACTTCAGCGGTGATGTGTTTCAGCTCTCCACATGATCCTACATTACAAAGACTGACTGAGTATTACTTTGACTTGCAGAATAACTTGTAAGAGCATTTATTTTGTACATGTTGTGTATTATCGATGTGTTTGTACAACTCACACAGTAGCATTGTAATGACTCTTTTATAACTAATATTATTAGACTATTTTATAACTAATATTTTAGCCCTGATTGTGTCTTGGATTTACTTTTTTTAATGCTTCTTTTGAATTGAAGCATGCCATCTAGGAAATATATTGTAGACACACCTCTCTGTGGTGGTTTTACACAGGACACTTATTACATTGAAACTGGTCTCAAACAGGTAGATCTGGATTTCAAATAAACTGCGGTCCGAAGTTCGGGTTACAGCCTCCCCCACGTCAGCTCCCAGGCTGTAGACAGGGCCAGTGCGAGCTGACTATGGAGGGTGGTGGACTGGTTTGAGGACAAGCAGGACAAAAGTGTTCACCATGGGGAGCCACAGGAACGGTTTTACTAAGGAGAGTTTCATTTTGTCTGTGGATGTCGGGACTACTTCGATCAGATGTCATGTCTATGACAAGGAGGCAGAAATCCGAGGGTCATGCTCCACCATGGTATGCATCTATTTCTCGCTTTACATGTCTTGAACACAGACCTAGATTATTTTGGTGCTGGACTTTCTGTTTTCTTTTGCTAATATGTTGTCAAGGATACATTACATGTTTATAACGATATATTTATCTTTACATATTATTTATAGTTAAGTCTGTTAACCTTCGCACATTCTTTGTACAATTTTAAGCATTCTGCACAAAACTACTTCTAAAAACTGCACAGCTCTTTCATTTGCATTCAGATACATATGTAAACAATGGAAATGTAAGTTTTCTTATATTTTGTGTAGTTTTCTTGTGATCTTTATTTATGTTAGTTGATTTTTTTTAACTTACTTTCTATTATTTTTCATTGCATCAGTCTCTACATTCAACACATACACACTTGTACTAGATTATAATAAGGCTGATCTATATGTTTCCTTTGCAAAGTCCTTCAGTTTTCTACTTTTATGCACAAAAGTACTACTTATCCAAAACTACTTATTCAGATATATTGTACATCTTGAATAGTATTTTGAAATGTATTTTTGTACTTTTATTCTCATTCTATTTATGTTTCTTGATTTTTGTATTTCAATTTTTTCTTACTTTGTTTATATTATTCACCAATACAACAAAGCATTTAAACCGATTTTTTTTTTTTCCGATTTTGATTCAGGTGGTTCCCTTGTATCCAGAGGTAGGACATGTGGAAATGGACCCAGAAGCAATATGGGAAGGGTTTATCACTGTGGTCAAGGGAGCTGTGCAAGGTACAGTTTCACAATGTCCTGTTACTACACATACTAAGGAGATAGACTGGATGTGATTCATTTTACATGTTAATATCTGCAATGCATATTTGGTAAATATGTTACTAACCAAATGCATGTTAAATGAATGAAATGTTTTTTATAGAGCGCTTTTCATAAACAAAATGCAACATGAAGGGCTTCACAGACAAAAGAAAATATTACCCCCCCTTCCAATCAATTGATGATTAATAATAACACGTCATATCAACTGAACTTAATTAATTTATATAGAAGTTAATAAAACAAGACTAAATAAAACAACATTTAAAAAAGTGTAAACACTGCCACTCTCACGTCCTCTGGTATGCTGGTAGTCTCAGCTATATATAGTATTTCTTTTTTCAAAGAGAGCAAATAAAGCGAAAGGCTGGCAAACATTCACTGAATTGCTGGTTCCTTGAGTACAACCGACCTAGCTACTGTTCAATAAAATCAAATAAGCCTCCCTGCAATAAATAACCTCCTTAATAAGGGTATCCTGTCCTTTAATTTAATGGATCACAGTATATAAGATTACATATTGAAATGTGAAAGGCTGCTCACAACCAACCGGACCAAATTTGAAGAGCTGACTGGAGTAATTATTTGGCATTGTTAAGAAATGCATTGAACCCAGAACACTTACCATTTATTTACCCAATTCACCCAACCCATTTATGTACAGGGTGTACTTGTCTCTGTCCTTAGAAAGCACACAATAATCCCTGTGCGTCAGTTCCTATTCCCTATTCCCCAACGCAACTCTTTTAATGATTGTTTTGCTCTGTTCATGTAGATGCAGGAGTTCACATGCGTCAGATAGAGGCCCTGGGCATCTCCACTCAAAGAGGCACTTTCACAACATGGGACCGGTGAATAATCATGAATAACTCCAATTACATCCAATAAAGCCGTTTTCACTTTTAAAGACAACTGCTGTAAAACACATGTTCCTTTCACTTTCACTTTGACAGGAGAACGGGAATTCCTTTCCACAACTTCATCAGCTGGCAGGATCAGAGAGCTGCAGATTTGGTGAAGTCCTGGAACAGATCCTGCACAATGACGGTGAGTCTTAAGCTTCGACACACCAAACTGACGCCAAAGAACACGTCCCGACGGAACATCGCCTCACGTAATATATAGTATATATACTCAAATGCGTACTCTATATATTTGAAAAACTCAACAGGAATGTCTCTTTCAAAAGAACCATGACAAGATGACCTATAATCCACATAACTTGTTGAAATCAGATTAATTTAGGAACCTTTTTTCTTTCTAGCAAAATAAACCTGCTAACAGTAAAACCACTCAGTAGGGTGCATACACGTACTAATGGACTAGTGCTGTGTCTCAATTTGCGTACTTCTGTACTTAGATTAGCTATTTTGAGTGCATCAAGGCAAATCAAGTCAAGGCAAGGCAAGGCAAGGCAAGGCAAGTTTATTTATATAGCACCTTTCAACACAAGGCAATTCAAAGTGCTTTGCAAAAAATGAAAGACATTAAGAAAATGGCATTTAAAATCAGTCATTAAAAAGAAAAGATAATAAAATAAACATTAAAAGAAAAAATACATGGATAAAAGTTACAGTTCAGTCTAAGATGTGAATAGTTCAATTAAAAGCAGCTGCAAAAAGAAAAGTCTTTAGTCTGGATTTAAAAGTGGTCAGAGTTGCAGCGGACCTGCAGGTTTCTGGGAGTTTGTTCCAGATATTTGGAGCATAATAACTAAACGCCGCTTTTTGATAGTTGAATGTGGATCAGTGTTCCCGTCTCACACTCAACGATTGCCATTTTAGCCAATGAAAGTGGCACAACCAACCACTATTATGTGGGTATTTTTCAGTATTTAATAAGAGCACCACAACACTAGTGTGGAAAGGAAGCCACTGTTAATTTAACTAGGTTAAATGAGCAGTCTGTAATGATTCGCAACAATGCTAGCTAGCTACCTACAAGCTAACAACGCAATTGTCACTTCTAGTGAGGGCACAGCAGCTTTGCAAAATTTGAGACAAAACTACCCATTTGTACCCACACTTTGCAAGTGTTCACAGTGTACAAGGTATAGTGTTCTAAAGGAAGTATCCAAATTGAGATACGGAATAGAATATTCCATTTCCGGGTGAACTGTTAAACACCTGAACTAGAACATCCATAACATTCACCTGTTTGCAAATGACAAATTATTTATCTAATATATCATATTCCAATTACTTGTATATAGACTCTGATTGCACTATTTATGTTCTATTTTATTTTATTTGTATTTACTTGCACTATGTTATCTGTTTTATTGTGTTGCACTGTTGGAGGAGCCTGTGACCTAAGATTTTCCTCGACATAACTACACTGTAGCTATGTACGAAGGACAATGAAAGCCTTTGAAACTTGAGCCGTGCATTTAAGGAGATGAGATAATTGAACTTTTTTAACTATTTGAATGCAGCCTTGATAAAAAATGTTTGACAAGCAACGACAGTATCAGTGCTGATAATCATGTTCCTTTGTTATGTATGCAATACCATTTCTATCTCTGACAACTGCAGGCCATCCAGGGCGTGATGAAGGTGCTCTACTTCTTCACCAGACAGAAACGGTTGCTGTCAGCAAGTCGTCTCGTCTTCTCCCCTCAACATGTAACCTTCCGCCTCGTCTGGGCCCTCACACACTACAAGCAGGTGTGTGTGTGTGTGTGTGTGTGTGTGTGTGTGTGTGTGTGTGTGTGTGTGTGTGTGTGTGTGTGTGTGTGTGTGTGTGTGTGTGAAGAGCTGACAGTTTAATCCAGTGACTGACAGAACATCAAACCTAGAGCCAGCCTCCTTAATTGTTCCTATCAAAAGGGATTCATATAAAAAAGAAAAAGCAAAGCATACCATTCCAGCACACAGGGAGCGGCTGGATTATATTATCGGTCCTCCCTTGTTCTTTATTTCTTTCACCCTCATCATATTTCGTTCCTCTTCCAGGTACGTCAGGCGGCAAGTAAAGGCAACTGCTGCTTTGGAACAATCGACACCTGGCTGCTGTTCAAACTCACCAAAGGTGGGTGTGGCGTGTTAAGTGAAGCACATATGAATGTTGTTTATTGCCATTTCTCATAAGAACAGTACAGTCATCTATAATTTGTGGATTGTATTTCCATTGAACCTACAACAGGACGTTAAGTCCTCAACAGAATGTTCTTTGTTCCAAATCCTATTGCATCACTGATTGGCTAACATTTTTCATTTAACTCTTGTGGGAAAGGAGGGGTTGGGAAAAGGCCTTGGAGCACGAATACGTTTTTCTGTACCTTTTTGAAGAGCGATTATGTGATGTGTCATCTGTGACAATTATTATGTTTCAGGGCAAGTCCATGCCACAGATTACTCCAATGCCAGTGCTACAGGAATTTTTGACGCCTTCCAGGTGTGATGTTTGTCAAGTTTGTTTACTGTTTATTTCTGTTTTGGTGTGAAGTTTAAATATTCACATCCTTTATCTTATATACCTTTTTCACAGATGTGTTGGAGTGGCTTTCTCAGCTCTATGGTTTCTATACCTCTCTCTATTTTCCCCAAAGTAGAAAACACTAGGTGAGTTAACCATTACCTTCGAAGAGACCCTATTCTGCTTCCTGTAGTGTGTTCTATAGGTTTTTGTGCATGTAAATGGTCTGCAGGCTAAAAGGCTAAAAATACTTATACAAGACATGTTTTCAAGAATTAAAAATAAAACACAAACTCAAAATCTTTGTATAAAAACAAAAAAGCAAACAATAATCAAACTCAGTAATCCCAGACATTTTGTAATCTATTATTGACCATGAAAATGATTAATTTACAAAAGGCTGAAAAAACAAATAAGGTAGATAAAGTTCTTCAACTCAAAATAAACATTCACATTTCACCCATAGAGTAAAATCTGATTATTTTGTTTTTCATTGGAAAAAAATAACATTTCTGTTTGCACAAGAGTCAACATATTGTACTAAATACAATTTATGGAAGTGTCCACTATCAAAAGGATATCTGTTTGTGATCAGTAAAACATTATTAAGATTGTGAATGAATAGTGTTAAAGTATGTGTTGTCTCTGCTCTCTCCCCATGCTTCCAGCTATGACTTTGGATACACAGACCCGTCCATATTCGGTCTGCCCATCCCCATCATGTCAGTGGTGAGTGCCTATGGTCAGACAGTGTAATTAGAAACATTTATTACAACATTTGCATTCCAGTTACGCCAGTGTGTCCAAGTTCATGTCACCGCCATTATGTTGCAAAATGGAACTTATGCCAAGTTATTGGTAATCATCAGCACAGGTTTTCTGAGGGCAAAAACATGACAAATCCTGCTGGAGACAGGCCCTTCTTTCTGTAACAGTGATGATCTAAACATTTTTCTTTTAACAACATACTCATGTCTCTACAGTGTGCGAAAAATTACACGTCCCACCGTCCGGGACGTCTTATTTACAATATCGGACAAGTAGATCTTTCAATTGACTTGTCCGGTGGACAAGTGATGTTTTTCGCCCTGATTTATTGACAAATTATTGATAAATTCAGTTTACAAAAGCCAGAACTCATTCGCAAATTGTACGTGTCCGCCATTGTTCGTTTAGAAATGTTAGTTTCGGTCCTGCTTGTCGATTCCTAAGGAAAGGAATCTCGCCGCTTTCTGTACAGTTAGACGGGCGCGGGGCGAGGAGGGGCGGGAAGTGTAGCACAGTGTCAGGGTTGGGAAGCAAAACTCGGTTCCGAGTAGGAACAAATAACAATTGTCCGGTCCCAGGATTGATAAGAGTTGTGAGGACAGGAGGCGAGGCCGAGCCCCGCGGACCGCAACTATCTCTCTCTCTATGCTCCGTATCAGCTGATCGCTGCACGGTGCAGCTCAGCGTCTCTCTCTCTCCTTCTACACACAGCGGACCCGCTGCCCGTTTTAGAGCCTCATCTTTGTCAAACTTTCTTATGTTCTTTCTCTAACACGTAATGAAGGTTATTAAGCGTTTTAGCTCCTGTGTTGTTAATATTGACCGCCATTTCCTTTATGAAGTGAAGCAGCCTCCCTGTGTCCTCGCGCTGTACTCACATCCCGGACCCCCAGCTCGGAAAGGAAGCACAGGGATGGTCAGATATTGTTTATGAAAGCAGGGTATAGAAAGTACATTATTGGAATGAAAATACTTTTAGTTTATTTTTACAAACAGTGAGCAGCTGGGCAGCATGCAGCATGTGGTATTGCAGGACACGTGTAAGCGTCTTTGAGTTTTAAGAAAAGCGCTAGGCCTATAGGCTATAAATGTAATGTATAATTATATATTATTAGGCCTATGTTTGGACATGTGTGGTTGGACCTTGCTGTTCACAGCAGGGTTGCGCATGTGTGTTGCAGGATGTGTTGGACACACAGCTTGGTGTGGTTGGATTCTGTTTCCACAGGCAGGTTGACAGTGGTAACATCAGAGGAGACTGGGCCAATTGTTACATTCTCAAACTACACACTTAGAACTAACTAAACAATGCAGGAGATTATTTTATATATGATCTGTATTCAATAACCGTAAGAAATTAAACAGTATGAAGTGATTTGTAAATAGGAATACAGGTTTGACTTAATGTTTTCATAAATATATTTTTCTCCCCCTCAAAGAACCGGAATCGAGAACCAAAAATAACTGGAATCGAAAAGCAGAACCGGAATTGTTAAAACCCAAACGATACCCAACCCTATGTGTGATGCAGTAAAATCTTACCGCTCATTTACGTTAGCGGTGTCGTTAAAACCGTGGGAAAATGTAAAATACGATGGCGAAGAAGAAGATTCCAGTGGCCCCAATTTGTGTCCATTCTGGACAAGTGAAAAATGTATTCGGACCATTAAATTGCCAAACTCACTTGTCCATGGACAAGTACTCTCTAAAAACTTTTTCTCACACTGCTCTATATAGATAGCGGACCAGCAGGCAGCCATGTTTGGAGAGTGCTGCTTTGATGTTGGTGATGTCAAGATCACCATGGGAACCGGCACCTTCATGGACATCAACACCGGGAATACACCACATACATCGTCGGCAGGTGGAGCAAAATATATTCACAACATTATTTATTCCATCTACTCCAGAGCAAGGACAAACTGTTGGAATGGTGCCCCCCCCCCTTGGAAAAGTGTTTTAAGTATTGTACCTTTTGGGTTAAGTTATTGGATCTTCTTAGTTTACAATATATACACAATGGAGGAATAACATTTAATTTGTCCCTGAGCCTCCGGATAGTTCAGTGGTTAGAGCTGACGGCCATATGCAGTGTCCGCTGCCAAGTACACGAGTTCTACTTCTGAGCCCGCAGAACGTTCCAGGCAGTGTCCTCCCCTCTATCTCCCCCTTTCAACACTATCTCCAATAAATGCACTCTCTGGCCCAAAAAAAATACAGCAATATACTTTTGTTAAGGGCATATTTTTCTATTTAAACTATTGAATTTTTCTCAGGGAATTCATTACAGTTTAATATGATTATGAATGTGTGTACATCAGGCTTTTATTCAAAACGGGTAACAGCTCAGGTATTACTTTCGGCGTGCGCCCTAATACCAAAATGCCAATTTTCCCTGTAAAATGTTAAAGTGATGCCAGAAAACAATATTGCTGCTCATCAAAAACTGTATGATTACTATGAAAATCGTGTGGAATAGACGGTCGGACGGCAGTGACAGCTTTGTTTTTACAGAGCTCCGACGTCGCGTTGTTTTGAGTTTGCAACGCCATCTTGTATACAGGCGTCATGTTCTTGCGAGAATTGATATTTGTATTGATATCTTATATACAAGTTCAGCGCCACAGTATTTCCCTCATACTATATTTGTATTGAAAGAAAACCCTTATACATACGCATACGATACGCATACATACGATATGCAGCACGTGTTTGTGTGGATAACTACTGTGGGTGTATGTAGTATATCTGTCTGTTTTGAGATGAGCAGACCTGCGGATAATTTGGCTGCTGGTAAAAAAAACCTGAACAATGAAGAATTAAGAAACCATATCTGTGAGAAGCTGACCAAACAACAGACATGATTCACAACACCTATAAGCTCTGTACTTTGTTGATGTTTGATTGAGGAAACCCCTATTGGCAGAAAACCACATATTGTGAGTTAAAGAGTAGTGTGTCCTTTCTGTCCTGTTGTATGTATCACTTATACGTATAAACACAAAATACTTTAAGTTAATGTAAATTAAAAAAGAAATCAACTTCAGGCCCTTACAACTGCAATTTCATGGGGAAAAGAATAATAATAAGTCCCACAAATTCAAATGGGTCCTCCTAAAGTTGTCAGTGCTCTGTCTAAATGTATCCATACCGACAAAGCTATTGTCTGTCCCCAGGTCTGTATCCTCTGGTGGGATGGAAGATCGGCTCAGAGGTGGTGTACCTGGCCGAGGGCAATGCAGCGGACACAGGCACCGCCATCAAATGGGCTCAGGAGCTGGGTGAGACACCTGATTATTATTTATTTCATGTTGCTGGGTGAGACACCTGATTATTATTTATTTCATGTTATTTGCAAGGAATTATGGTCAGTAGTTCAAACTTATTTTAATTGTATTATTATTATTTTTGTGTACGTTTATATTCAATTCATTTTGATTCACAAACAGTTTAAAATACACATAAGACATGATAGAGACATGTGAAATGGGACATCCCCATAAGCTACAGTATAAGAAGCTTTAGAATAGGGGCCAGGACACTAAACACAGGAAATGACAACTTGCATTACTTTAAAAATGTAAAAAGCTGCAGCACACTTTTGCAATGTCTAGTATCATATGTTTTTTTTTCTTCTGTGTTTGTAGTAGAATGTCTATTAAATAGTATTCTAATTTATTCAGAATTTGTTTATTGTGCATTCTTTAGATACTCTATTGATATACATCCTTTCTACTTTTAAAGTATTTATATTTACTGTTTATTTGTATTTTGGTCTATTCTTAACTTGTGTTAACTACTTGTTAACTTTCTGCTGCAGTGACAAAACAGTTTCCCAATTTGAGGTGTATAAAGTGTGTCTGATTTAATGTAATAGGTTAAAAAACAACTAATATTAAGACATAATAAACAGCTCAGATATATGACAAAGGGAAACTAGTGGTATAAACTAAATGCATTTCAGAGTAGAGCAACATGTTTACAATTATCCAGTGACCAAGTGTAGTCAAGCTCTGACTTATTTAATAACAACTGCTGCTTTCAACAATTTTTAAAGAAAGATGAACATGTTTATGTTGTTTAATGAATCTTTGTCCATACATGAGGACAAAAACACAATGCTGGAATCATCGAAATCAGCGGTTTTCAAAGTGTGATGCGCGCCTCCCTGGGGGGGCAACAGAGAGCTTTAGGGGAGACGCAGCGTGAGAAAAAAATCACGTACCCATCAGCCAATCAAATGGGTACAGTCAGTGAGTCAGCACGATAGATTCAAACACAGAGACGAGACAAGAAGAGAGAAACAGTACTGAGTCATTTCAAATGGCGTGCTCAAAAGAGAGAAAGCTAGACAGCAAAAACAGAGCATTTAATGACATGTTCTCTTACTGGACCTCTTTGAAATGCAATTGAATACACCTGCATTATAGCAATAATAATAATAATAATAATAATAATAATAGCAATAGCAATAATAATTGGGAGGTATGTTCTCTGAGGGGAGGGCTCACCTTCCCACACTTTGAAAACCCCTGATCTAAATGTTCCACGTTTGAGAGAAAATCTTCCTTACACTGAATATATTAGCGAGTGACAGATTCAGAGGGTGTGTGTGAAAGCTGTGTGTGTGTGTGTTGCAGAGCTCTTCTCTGACGTCCAGGAGACCAGCGACATGGCTTACAGTGTCAGCGACTCAGACGGAGTGTGCTTCGTTCCCTCCTTCAACGGCCTGCAGGTAGACTATTGTGTGATAATGTCAAATACATATGTACTTTTATAAACACGTGTGTACAAATGACAGAAATAAAGCAAAACAACACATGTACTTTCAGTAGCATTTATAGTTTTTCTGTAACATGGTTATGTGTCTCTTTTTTTCCTTTGCCCTCCATTGTGAACTGGCCCCTGTAAGTCCTGGATGTTCATAGCTTGTATACATGTCATGAAATAATCAAATGTTCTTTAAATGGTTGTATAATCAAGACAAGCACACTGTCACCATGTAAAACAGTTCACTGCACCCTATCTGACCTGAGGCTCATTTCACTATAAAGGTCAAATAGGTAACATTTCCACATATACATGTCTAGAAAAAACCCTAGTTATATATGTTTTTGTAAGTTGTGTAGTTACTTTCCCCCAAATGTTCTAAACTATTTTAAAAGCTGAATTCATAATGTGACTTTTATAAGGATTTTAGATCCTGGTGGTTTTTAACTATATATTTTAACCAGATGAAGGATTTTAGTCTTAAACCTGCTAAGCAATTTAAGCGCCAGCCAGATAGGACTGGAGAAACACTGATTTTCTTTAGCGTCATACTGCTTTAGTTAGTGTTTTACCGGTTTGAATAACCGCACATGTTTATTTTGGAGAGGAGGAGACATCTGAGGACAATTCGGCTTCCTGTAAAATCCTCCTGACAAGAGTCCTTCATTGTAACCGACGCTACTTCACAACGCCACCTAACTGTTCCTCTGGTTTGATTGAGACACTCTATTGGCAGAAAACGACTTATTGTGTGTTTAATGCATAGACCTTAGGACCATTTCGATTTTCTTTTCCTTTTTGTTCTTACCAGGTCAGTTTTTCACTTTTAGAAATGTAACATTTTTGTATAAATGTATCCAAAGGCTCCTCTGAATGATCCCAAAGCCTGTGCCTCCCTCATGGGCCTCAAACCCTCCACCACTAAGAGTCATCTGGTCCGAGCCATTCTGGAGTCTGTGGCCTTCAGGTGAGAAACTTTGAAGAGATGTTTTTACCGTTCGTTCTCTTCATGCTTATCGATATTATCTCCTCATACGCTTCTTATTCTTTACAGGAACAAGCAGCTATATGACACAACCCTGAGGGAAACTCATATTCCCATCACAAAGATCAGGTGTAGTTTCTTTCCCTAATGTTCTAATTCATATATATTCTTAAGAATATCCAAACATTGGATTTGAAATGTGAATAAAATTGAAATTAGTATCCCAAATAAATAAAACCAATTTACAAAATGTGCTCTCAGCTGGAGATATTCCTATGTAAACTATCACTCAATGGGCTATAATGAGGTCAGGAAAAATGATCCCGTCACGTCCCTATATCATGCGGTATGATAGAGTACGTGACGTATAACAATGGAGGTAATGTCCATGTATATCATGTGGTATGATGCAGTATGTGACGTATAACAATGGAGGTAATGTCCATGTATTGTCGATATTTTAAAAGTCATGTCGTTATATCAACTGATCATGTAAAAACGATCGAGGTCATGTTGATATCCTGAAAATAATCATTCTTGTCCATATCGTACAATAAGTCGGTAACTTAAAAACTCTTGAAGTCATGTCTATATATCGTACGATAAGTCAATCACGTAATAACTACCCAGGTCATGTCCGTATTTCGATGGATAAATCAATTCAAATTAATGAATGAGGTAATGTACTTAAAGCGGACCATTCATTTCATTTGAACAGATAAAAAAAAAACATCATTTATATCATGTAAAAATACTCAAGGACATGTACAAGTATTGTATGATACGATAAAGAAAAAAATCACTCGGCCAAAACAATAAATAATATTGACTCTCTGGCTCTGAACAACAACATCTATGCAATAGAGAGCCGCAGTGACGCGTCCTTAAACCCGGAAGTAAACTCCTTCCGGTTCCTTCGTCTAAAACGCAATGCAATTTCTCCATAGGATTTTGGAAAATAGCTCGAAATAAGGTCTGTGGTTGACACATATTTAAGAGATTGATCACGTTTTGTTCAGCCGGATAATATCCACATGTCAACCCTACTTTTATAATTTTTGAATAATAAATCTAGTCGGCAGAAGCAAAATGCTAACGTTATGCTATAAACGAACTACAAGCCAGTACAGCAACAGGGTCGCACGACTTCAACGTCACGCCAATTTAAGATCGTTTCAACTGACTTTCGCGCACTTGCATATTTTAACAAAGCTTTTCATTTGAGCCACACTGAATTTCACTAGAAGTCATGGCTGTGTCAATTACCAGTCTGATATCATTTTACAAAGATGACAAGAAGAGTGTAGATAGAGGAGAGAACCACTACAAGTCAGGACACGTACAACAGTGCAGCCTAGATGAAGGTGTGCTTACCGGTGTTGTCAGAGCTAGCATGAGGGACAAGGTTTATAGAGTGTCGGTGAGTAGTGATAGCGAGAGTACCATTAAACTAGAGTTAATTTATTCACATTAATTCCCATCAACAAATCCATTTTATGTGTCACATGAAATCTTTATTACAAATATTACACACCAGAAAAAACAGAAATATCCATGAAATAAACATACAGTAGGCTATAAACAATTAAAGGGATAATTGGGAAGGCATTACAAATGTAAATATATTTTAAATAATAAAACAATCCCACCACCACAGGTATCTACAGGAGAAGAGGGAATTCTCTCCACAAAATGTGAATGCCCACGTGGAGAATGGAAATGCAGTCATGCGGCTGCATTATCCATCTTTGCCATCCACAATTTCAGCTGCACTGACACCCCCTGTCAGTGGAAGAAACCAAAGGCAGCTAAACGTACACATTCAGTGGAGGAGCTATTTCCTCCAACCAATAACTCATTCAACCGCTGACAAGAGAGCCCACCTCCGAAGATCGTGACTGGCTGAGGGACAGACTCGGGGGCAGGTTCTCAGGAATTTCTTGGCTTCTCTCCCCCGAGCCAGAAGAGGAACACTACAGCTTGGAAAAACTTACTGTTCCTGAAATTATCAAATCTGTTGGGCATCAGGGACCTGAGGCAATTGTGGCAAGCATGGCATTGTCTGAAGAGCAACAGAGGGCAATTCAGGTGGCTACCACTGGTCAGCGAACCAACCCAAACTGGCATTTGTTCAGGAAAGGAAGGTTGACTGCCAGCAACTTTGGAGCTGTCCTGAGGTCAAAGCGTGTGACTGCTTCCCTTATTCCCAGGGTGCTAGGGCAACAACAGGCCCTTGATGGTGTTTTGTCTGTACAGTGGGGGAATATGAAGGAATCCGGAGGTCAAGGCAATACCACTGAAACCCAGATAAAACCCAATCAATACATTTAAGACTCTCCCAATCAGGATTGTTGGTAGGGATGCACCGAATATTCGGCCACTGAGAATGATCGGCCGAAAATGGTTAAAAAGGCCCTTTCGGCTTTCGGCTATCAGCGAATGTCAGAGAACAGGGTTACGTTGATCATACTCCG